TTTTTAAAAACTGACCAAAAAATGTGATGGGAAGCATGTGAAGCAGCCAGAATTCTCATCCACTGCTGTTGGGAATGCACAATGGTACAGCCACTGTGCACAATTATTTGGCAGTTTCCTGTAAAGCTAAACATAAGCTTATCGTATGATTCAACTATCCCACTCCTACATATTTACCCAAGAGAAAAGGAAAACTTTGGGGCTTACAAAAACCTGTATAAAATGTTTATAGAAGCTTTATTCATAATCACCACAAACTGGAAAAAATCCAGTTGTCTTTCAGCTGGTGAGGAGATATACTAACTATGACATAGTCATGTGATGGAATACTACACAGAAATGAAAAGGAACACTCTACTGCCATGCACAACAATTTGCATGAATCCCAAATGTGTTATGCTAAGTGTAAGAACCAGATTCAAAAAGCTACATACAGTATGATTTCATTTATATGACATTCTCGAAAAGACAACACTGTAGGGATAGAGAGCTCAGGGGTTGCTAGGATTTAGGGATGGACGAGGGTTGACTCCAAAGGGGCAGCACAAGGGAGTGTTTTGAGGTGAAGGAACTATTTTGTCTTTCTGATTATGACGGTGCATTGGTCAAACTCATAGAACTGTGTAACTAAAAATAAGTAAATACATTTTACTACATATGTTACAAATTTAATTTGGATAATTAATTCAAGGTTGTTTTGCTGTTTATTGTGGATTCAGAAAAAACAAATCAAAAGAAAACCTGGGTATCTATGGTCTTGGTAGCCTGCAGTGATTTTGCAAATGCTCATGCACACACACGTACACAAACCGTGTACGTGTGTGTGTGTGTTCATTCAACAAGCATTTAAAGAACATTTCCTATGGACCAGGACTTGTAATAGGGGTTCCTACCTGGGGAGATATTGGTGAGTAAGAAAAGCAGGATTCCTACTCTCTTGGTGGAGAGACAGACAGATAATAAATATGTAAACAAATAAATGAACATAACAGCTTCTGATAGTGGTAAGCACTGTCAAGGTAATAAAACAGGCCTGTGAAATAGAGAGTGGGATTTAATGCGTGGGCCTCTCTGACGAGGTAATCTTAAATTAAGTCCTGAAAGGTGTAAAGGAAGCAGCCATGCATGCAAATATTCAGGCAGAGCAGTTCAGACAGGGAAAATATCCAATGCAAAGACTCCTAGAGAACTACATTGAGGGTGAGATATCTTGGAAAACCCTCTCACTTCAAAACTCAGAAAATGGGCTGTCTGGTTAGTTCAGTTGGTTAGAGCATGGTGCTGATATCTCCGCTGTGCAGGATTCCATCCCTGTACCAGCCAGCAGCCAAAAAAAAAAAACCTCAAAAAGGCTGGCTGGGGTGAGAATATAAGATGAGAAAGTGGAGACAGTTGCTATCAACCATTCTTTTGAGAAGTTTTGCTATGAAGGGGACAGAGGAGTAACAGTGCAGCTGGAGAGGCATGTGGGGGTCAATGGAGGGATTTTTCTTAGATGTCGGATATGTTGGATATAGATGTGCTGATGGAATGACCCATCAAGTCAAGTGAGAGAACACAATGATGAGTGCTGGAGAGGAGGGAGAGACAATTACAAGAATTCTGTCCTTGAAAGAGCAGGAGGGGATCCAGAGCCCACATGAACAGGGTGGCCTTAGGTAGGTGCTTGGATAGTTCATCCATTATCACCAAAGGGAAGGCAGAGAGATGAGACAGGTGCATGTGGGTGGGTAGATTCAGGAGGGAGAAGATGAAAATGTATGTAGTTCTCTTTGTGTTTATTTTCTTAAAGAAACAGAAAGTGAGGTCAATTGTAAGAAGTGGGGTTGGCTGCTGGAGATTAGAAGAGGAATGGACAAACGATATACAATAGTTTTATAGACTGGGAGAAAAGCATATTGCAAATAAATAGAGAGAAATCGGTGGTCAACACACCCTTTATACAGAGGGAGACCACCACAATGCATATGTTTGCATATGTGTGTGCACACACACATGCACACTGAACAAGGGGCAAGAAGACAGACTTCACAGCTGATAAAATAGAGAAGGACAGAAAAGAGTAGGCTAAACTTCAGCTGCTGGACAAAAGAATCTACACCTGAAGAAAGCACATTCTAAACTGAGAAGAGCTGGACTCTGGATCAGTTAGTTCTATTCTGGGTTTCGATTGTAGTCCAATTTCCTGGGTAAACTGAAAACCACCCAACTGGAATCACATTGCAATCAGTCTCTCCACCACTGATATGATTTTCCAGAGCAGTAAGAGTGAAGGGCAACACTCCTAAGACCAGCTACCAAGAGGGAGCCTGAAGTCACTGAAGAGGCACCCGCAGAAGTCCAAGCAGAAGCAGAGAGTCTGAAGTTTCATAGAGAAGAGCTACAAGTTTCCAACTGAACTTATATGAATCAGGTCAGCGATAGAGCTATTGGTTCCCTACTGCTGCTGTAACAAATCACCATGAACGTATTGGCTTTAAACAACACGAATTGGTTACCGTACAGTTCTGGAGGTCGAAAGTTTGAATGGCTTGGCAGGGCTTCCGAAGGTTCCTTTGGAGGTTCTGGGAGAGAACATGTGTCCTTGCCTTTTCCAGCTCTTACAAGCTGCCTACATTTCTTGCCTGGTGTCCCCTTCCTCCATCTTCAAAGCCACCAGCGTACCATCTTCAAATCTTTCTCGAATCTGACCTCTGCTTCCCTTGTCACATCTCCTTCTCTCCCTTTGATTCTCCTGCCTCCCTCTTTTCCTATGTTTACATTGGGTGCAGCCATGTAATACAGTATAATCTCTTCATGTCAAGATCCTCAACACTTCCAAAGTCCCTTTGCAGGGAAGGTAACATATTCACAGGTTCTGGAGATTAGGATGAGGACACCTTTCAGGGGGAGGGAGCATTATTCTGTCTACCACAGAAGCTTCCTGCCTTATCCAGTGCTGTGATCTTGGCTAAATCATTTCATCGTCCTATTTTCTTTAGAAAACTTTACCAACTGAACTAATTTACTTGAACAATGGCACCAGAGACCTTCCCCTTTCCTGTCTTCTCTCTCTCCACCTGTACTTTATAAAATGTGCTGTAGCCTGGAATTTAAAATATTGCATTTGCTTAACCTGGCCACATAAAGCTTTTACTTTTCCCCCAATGCTTAAGTAGAATTTAGAACTTTTTTTTTATTTAAAAATTTTTTTCATTAATTTTTTTTATTGAAACATAATTGATTATTCCCATTTTGGGGGTCCAGAGTTGACTATCGGTATTTGTGTACAATATGTGATGATCAAATCAGAATAATTATCATATTCATCATTGCAAAACATAATCATTCTTTGTGTCCATCAACCAATTTCTCCCAAACCTCCCTCCCACTTTCTCACCGCTAGTGACCACAGTTCTGTTCTGAATTTAGAGCTTTTTAAAAAGAAATTCTTTATATGAAGCTCTAAGGTCACATGTGAAGTGAGCAAGTTATATTTTCTATGTTCCATCACAGAATTTCTTCTGAATTTTGGATATGTGAGACTTTTGAACTTCTGCTACATAAAACATTGAGAGCTATCATGCCTCCTAAATTTTATGACATAATTAATTTAGCAATCCACATAACCTTCATACATAAAATTCCTAGAAAATTTTGGTAATCTAAAATTAATATAGCATGTCATTGATGTTTACTGAATTTTGGATATGTGAGACTTTTGAACTTCTGCTACATAAAACATTGAGAGCTATCATGCATCCTAAATTTTATGACATAATTAATTTAGCAATCCACATAACCTTCATACATAAAATTCCCAGAAAATTTTGGTAATCTAAAATTAATATAGCATGTCATTGATGTTTACGTTGTTTTTTAACACATTCAGTGTTTAAGAGTGAGTGTGTGCACAGGAGGCTATGTGTTAAGATTCTGTCTCAAATCCTGGCGGGGAAGATTCTAATATGTAACTTTGGTCTCTGTAGCCTTGCAAAAGTTATGTCACCTCCAGAATCTCACTCAGCAGCCATGTAAACAGTGAATAATTATACAGGTCTCCTGGGGATGAGACATAGACTAACTGACTTTTGTACGTAAAAAGCCTTATTAAATACCAAGCATTGCTATAAATTAAACCTCACCTCACACAATTGATCTATGCTTCTGTAAATCTCTCTGTTTTTAATTAGATTTGATATGCCTCATTATTTCTCATTTACAACTAAGTTTAAGTTTGAATTTTGCTTTCAACCATTTTATATTCATTCAAATATTGGCTTTCTTTTAGTTCTCGAAGGGATTTCTGTTTGTATCCCATTGTGCTTATTTTTATTATATTATAATAAAAAATTATATTTTATAATATTTAGAAATTTTAACTTTCTATTTAGAAATTTTAATTTTCTATTTACAAATTTTAATTTCTCTTGATCTACTGTATGACATGTGTATGAGGACAGATACAATGACTGCCAATTCCTAATAATCGTACTGGTCAGGGTTGTGGCAGGAAACCGATGATACCCTCAGAAGGGGCCACTGAAAAGAGTTCAATGAAGGAACTATCTATGAAGATGTGGGAACCATTAAGAGAAACCAAGAAAAAATTAAAAAGCACATTGAAGCAGTCCATGTCTCAAAGAACAACAGGAGAGAGGGTGGGCGGAACCTGACAAGGGCTGTGGCTGAGGGGAGGGCCCAGGAGATGGGCCTCCTTTATTCAAACCCAGCTGGAGGCCGGTGGGCAAGGGAATCAGTTGATGCAATTCATTGAGAGCCATTTCCTGGCACACAGCAGAGTGGGAAAGAATGGAGAGTGATCTAGAAGAGTGAACAGAAGATACCAGCACAGTGGTCTATTGGAAAAAGCATTATCCCAAATTAATTTGGGCCTTTGGGATCTGGTTGTACTTAAGCCTACATACACCACCATACTTGGTCCCTGAATCCTTTGGTTCCAAGCACCTACCATTCTTCTCAGCACTGCCATTGGTGGTCTTAAAGCTGAGCTGGTCACCATGGCTGATGCCCAGATTGGCTCATCCCTCTGTGGGTAGAAGATCTGACTGATAAATCCGTGGTGCAGACACCTACAGTGACTTTCCCAACAGGCTGTCTGGGAAGCGCTCTCCCTCACTCTTCCCGTCCTCCTTTTCCAGGGTGGAGCTTCAGCATGGGGTCCGCCTACCAGTTCCACAGTTGGCGTGTGTTTGTCATTGTCTGCGCGCTCCCCTGTGTCTGCTCCGTGGTGGCCCTCACGTTCATGCCTGAAAGCCCGCGGTTCTTGCTGGAGGTAATGCTTGTTACTACAAATACTCAAGTAGCCCACAGACATTGGAAAGAGTTCTTTGTTAATTCTAGGAGAATTTGTTTGCCTCTGGGAGGCACATTTTTCCTTCCTACTATGGAACTACGGAGGGTTTGATTTCATGGAGACATGCTTTAAACAACCAGCCTGTAAAAAGCTGTCTCATGGCCAGAAGGCTCTCATGTTCCTCCTTAAGCAATAACTTTTCACTCAATGAAGAGAACATGGCTTATTGTTTTACAAATGAAACCTTACCACCCAAATGTACTCTTTCTAGTTATAGGCACATTCTTTGAAGTGCTAATGTGTTCAGTGATATCCAAGTAGTCTGAACGTTCCAATGGGACATACCTAACTACATTTGCATGATTACGTCCCAGTCGATCTGACAGTACACGATGGTGATCGGAAAATCAATGAGTATAAGTGTTTCTCTGGTAGCACTTCACTGTCTATTCACATTTCTTAGGTTGGAAAACATGACGAAGCTTGGATGATTCTGAAGTTAATTCATGACACCAACATGAGGGCACGGGGGCAGCCTGAGAAGGTCTTCACGGTGAGTCTGCTCCTCAGCAAATCCTTAGCACCAGGCCTTGGGACATATTCTCTGTCAAGAAACAGATTGTAAATATTTTAGGCTTTGCAAGCCATATGGTTTGTCACAATGACTCAGCTCTGACATTGTGGCACAAAAGCAGCCATAAACAGTGTGTAAACAAATGAGTATGGCTGTGTTTCAATAAAACTTTATTTACAGAGACAGGCCCATGGGTTGCTGACCCTTGTCTATACCTGTCTAGGACTCAAGGGCTCTGTGCTTGGTTAAATAACACCAACCCAAGAGATGGCATTAAGGTGGAAAGACTTGGACTATTCTCTGAAGCCCAGGATCAATACCTGAGGATAGAAGGCCCTTGGTTGTAGCAAACACTAGCTAATTCTCCTTGACTTGCTATCAGAAGAGATCCAGCCTTCTGTTGGCCCATCTCCTCTGCTCTGCCAGGCCAATGCTGTTGCCCCAGCCACCCACCTGAAACTTGTTTCCACATGTTGCTCAGCCAAGGAGTTCAGAGCACCCTAAGGTCTCCTAGGTAAAGCAAGTATATCTGGGTTCACAACCCAGCTCTGTCACTTACTTGCTGTGTGAACTGAGCAAGTAAGATCAAGGCTCTTAGCTTCAGTTTCCTTATCTATAAAGTAGTTATAATAACACCTAACTGATAGAGTTTTCAGAAGGGTCAAATGAGATGATATATGTAAAGCACTTAGCATACTGTCTGGCATATTCTAGGTACTCCATAAACAGCAAAAAGTAATATATACACATTTCTGTGTATGTAAAAATGTGTGCATATACATATGATTTTGTGTATATATGTGGGAAGGGGGGCAGTCAGAAGATAAAGATAACATTAGAAAGTTGTATTCTATTGTTCCATCTTGGAAGACCACAACGTACCAACTGTTTTGCCTTTCCCCTGGCATCTCTAGGTTTCTTATTTCACAAGACATCCCAGTTATTATAGGCTTTCACTAAGTTTGCTGGAGGATCTAATATGAGCTCTTATTCAAGATTTAACTGAGAAATGCATTCTCTCATATCTAAGAGAAAACCTGCACTCTGGGCTTCATAGGAAAGCATATGCCAAACAAACCCCAGTAAAAGCTTCTCCTTAATGAGAGCATAAAAGTGTGTAAAAAACTATCAACTCCCTAAAAAGGTTTCCCCCAAAATTTCAAAATCATTTCTTTCACATAAAAAGGAAATAGAAAGGTATTCTCATAAATGATAAAGCCCAGAAAAATACTGTTGTATTAATTCATTTCTGTTGCTCATAACAAAATACCTGGAACTGGGTATTTATAAGAAAATGAAATTTATTGCTTACAGTTTCAGAGGCTGGGAAGTCCAAAATCCAGGGAACATATTTGATGAAGGCCTTGGTGGTGGTGACAGTGACCCAGGGGTCTCACATGACAGAAAATGGCAGAGCAGAGAGAGAGACTCTTTGTGTGCTCTCCTTTTAAAGCCCTCAGAACCACACCCCTGACCACCATTTTTAATCCATTCACTACTGCATGGTCCTACAATCCAATCACCTCTTCAAGGCCACACCTTTCAATCACTATAATAGGATTTCCCACCCTCAACAGTTACAGTTGGGATTAAGCTTCTAATATATGAACTTTGGAGGACACAATTCAATCAATCTACAGCATTCTGCCCCTGGCCCCCAAAGTTCATGTCCTTCTCACAGGTAAATATGTTCATTCCATCTCCAAAGTTTTAACTTGTTTCAACTTGAAAGTCCAGGGTTCAAAGTACCATCTATGAAATCAAAACAAATTATCTACTTCCAGGATACGATGGTGGGACAAGCACAGGGTACATATTCCCATTTAAAAAGGGAGAAATAGGACAAAAGAAAGGTGTAAAGGGTCCCAAACAAGTCCAAAGCCCAACAGGGCAGGCTTAAATCTCAAAGCTGGTGAATCATGTACCTTGAATCCATGTTCAAAGTCCTCTGCACACTGGTGTGGGGCTTGAGTTTTCAAGTCCTTGGGCAGCTCTGCTTCTGTGGCTTTCCTGGTCTTCAGCCACACACAGGTCTGGGGTCTCCATGGCAGTTCCACTTTCACTGCTCCACTAGACATGGCACTGATGGGGTTTCTCTGCTGCAACTCTGACCCCACATTTCTGCTCAGCATTGCTCTAGGAAGGCTGTCTGTGGTGAATCTGCCCCTGTGACAGATCTTTTCCTGGGTCCCCAGGCTTTTCTGTTCATCTTTTGAAATCAGGGTGGAGGCTCCCAAGCCTTCAGAGATCTGGCATTCTGTGATCCTGCAGACCTAACACCACGTGGATGCCACTAAGTCTTCCGGCTTGTATTTCCCAAAGTTGCAGGTCCAGCCACACCTGGGGCCAATTTAGCCATAGCTGGACCAGCCACATCAGCTGGGTGCTGGTGCTGGTGCTGGAAGCAGCTTCCTGAAGTGGCCCTAGGTAGGCAGCCTCTGTAGGGCACCTCAGGCCTGTTCTGTTCCCCAGACCATTCTGTCTCCCTAGACCTCTGGGCCTGAAATGGAAGGGTTGGCCCCAGGGCCTTCTGCAATGCCTTCAGGGCCTCTTGCCCCTTCTCATGATAATCCCTTTCTTTTGTACTAATCTTCTTAGCACCAGTACATTTTTCTCCTGAAAATGCTCTCTGCTTCTCTACCACATGGCCAGCTACAAATTCCCCAAATCCTTGTGCTCTTCTTCTCTTTTAAATTCTGGCTTCACATCATGCCTTTTCTGCCATAACTCAGAATAGGCTGTTGCAAGTCACCATGCAGCTTCCTTAACGCTTTGCTGCTTAGAAATTTCCTATACCAAATACCCTGGGTCAACATCTTTAAGTTCAACTTTCCATTATACTTTTGGGCATGAACAGTATGCAGCCAAATTCTTTGCCAGTTCATAGCAAGGGTGATCTTTGCCCCAGTTTCCAATAAGTCCCTTCTCATTTACATCTGAGATCTCCTCAGAATGGCCTTTACTGTCCATATTGCTATCAGCATTCTGCTCACCACCATTGGACCAGTCTCTAAAACATTCCAAACTTTCCCTGGTTTTCTTGTCTTCTAAAGTTTCACTAGCATCTAGGCTTTTTCTCGCCTGTTCCTCAAAGTTCTTCCAGCCTCTCCTCAATAGCCAGTTCCAAAGCTGTTTCCACATTTTCAAGTATTTGTTATAAGCAACACCCCACTTCTCCGGTACCCATTTTCTGTTATTAGTCCATTTCTGTTGCTTATAACAAAATACCTGGAACTGGTGGAACTAGGTAGGTTATAAATGAAAAAAAATTTATTGCTTATTGTTTCAGAACCTCTGAGGTCTGAAGTCTAGGGAACACATTTGGTAAAGGCCTCAGTGTTGGCAACAGTGACCCAAGGTCTCACATGGCAGAATATGGTGGAGCAGAAAGACTCTTCATGTGCTCTCCTTTTAAAGCCCTCTGATCCACGTCCCTGACCATGATTATTAATCCATTCACTATGATGTAGTCCTACAATCTAATCACCTCTTTAAGGCCCCACCTTTTGATTACCATAATAGGATTTCTCACCCTCTTCACACTATCACAGTGGGGACCAAGCCTCCAACACATTAAACTTTTGGGGGGACACAATTCAATCCACAATAACCACCCATATAACTTTCCTAAAAAAAATAAGTTAGTATATTCAAACCAAGATGAAATGAAATTGATAACTCAAGAAGTGAGTTAAACATATGGGTTTCTACATAACTATTTTCAATATGATAATAGGTCTAAAGCAAAAGTCAAAAATATTATTAAAAAAGATATGAAAAAATCATTTTTTTACACTCTGTAGCAATTTTCTATACCTAAACCCACAGAAGTTGAAAATAGCAAGAATATTCAGGAATATTCTTATAAAAATATAACCTAGAGAAAATCTTTGAAAAATTTAAAAATAATCAAAATTAGAATTAAATTAAGAGATTGGATATAAACTTTTCAAAAACATTGAAGACCAAAAAAAAAAAGAAAAGAAAAAAGAAAAAGAAAAAGAATGTATGTAGCTTATTTATAAGGAGAGAGGAAATAAAGGAAATTTTTTTTTAAATTTGAAGTCTTAGGTCAGGAGTGGAAATATTAGTTTATTAAATAAATTGTATAAGTGGTATAAACATTCCTATTAAAAGACAAAAAAATCAGATTGAGTCAAAACCAAAATCAACCATATGTATTTTACATGAGACAAAGTGGCTCAAAATACTTACCTCCATTAGTGGGAATTCTGGCCTGTAAGCTTCCAGGTACATTTACAAGTGACACCCCATTTCCCCAAAGGCATACACTCAGAGCAGCCTGATAACATTTTCTCTGAAATGTCAGGAATTATACTAGAGGATCAAAACAGTTTAACTGAGCATAAAACTAATCTCTGGGTTTCCTGCCAACCAAGGCAAAAGAAAAATTTAATGAATTACATAGTTTTTGATATAAAGTGAACAGCAATATTTCTATTTTTCAGGAAAGGTCAACTTTATCTAGTTCTGATTTGTGAAAAGTTTTTCATATGCCTTATTATAGAGAGTATTGAACCATATAATGCACATTATCTTCAATAACACTTTTACATAAGGCAGATATTTTACACATGGTCATTTCTTAGGTCAATAAGTAATCAGAATTTGGTAAAGGAAGGTAGCCATGTGGGAAGCCAGAGAAAGGTATGTGGTATATAGAAAGTACGTGGCTTCAACTTGATGAGGCTTGATGTGAACAAAAGGGATAAAAGCATCAGATTTATTTTTAAAATATGTATCTCATTTTATTTTACATACACACACATGGGCACACACATACATAATACACACCCCAATTTCATATTCTACTGGCTTTTCATTGCTCTCAGGATAAAGACAAAAATCCTCAATCTGGACACCAAGGCCCTGGCGATCTAGTCCCCGCCTACTTTCCAGTTCCTATTGCTCTGCAGCTACACTTGTCTTTCAGTTCGTCAGACTTGTCATTTTACCTA